CAACATGATTTAGAAAAAGCTAAAATACTAAAGTAAAATGTCTTTGGGGGGGTTTCAGCTGCAGCTGTGTCTCATGATAAGCACGGTGTCTGTTATGCTGTCAGTGGTGGCTGTGATCATCTACTCTGTGGACATGAGCAAGAATCCTGAGGAGCCTTGTACGAAAACAGACAACAGATGTGACGAAAAGCACTACGAGACGGTTGGTCCTTAAAGTAGTCCGGGTGTCTTTCAGTACCTTTGTACTTAATTTGCACATTTTTGTTGTGTGTCTATCATTTTTGTGTCCCTGTAGTCTTTTTGTACACTCGTTTTTTTCTCTTTGTAGAGATTTTTGTGTTACTTTGTATTTATTTTGTTGTCTCCATCCCCATAATATATAACATATAATTAGAAATAAATTATTAAGATGAAGTGCTTCTACAGTATAGTTAGATCTATACGTAAACAAAGTCAATCCGTGACTCCGTCCAAGTGAAGAGAAACGCTCCGCTCCCTGGTAACAAAACAAACACACATGTCGGCAAAGGTATCCACAACAAGTGTGGTTCAAAAACACAGAGGCACACGGCCATACTGACGAGGGTGAACTCAATAATCCAGCATTGACTGTAGCTCAGCCGCACGGCTAAACAGGACGCTCATGGAGAAGGTGATCAGTGCAGCTGGTGATGGCTTGATGAGCTGCAGTTGCGGCTGCATGTTAAGCACTAACAGCAAAAACTGAAATATTCAAAGTGACAGCCTCAGTGCAGTTGGAGCGCTGAGTCTTCTTTGAGTTTCACAAACATTCTGGGTTTTAAGCATTTTATTGGCCTTCTCTTGTACGACACCATGATTTGTACAATGCTACACTGTACAAAGTATGAGTGAATGGTTTATGATGTGTGAGTGTCTCAAGAAAAGCAGCTGGTTAGTGTAGTGGTACGACTACACACCTTTGGAGCGGGAGTCTCGCGTTCGATTCCCAGTATCTAGGACGTGTCGATGCTAAAAAACCCTGGGATGGTGAGGCTTTGTCTGCAGCTGGAGCACAAGCGTTTCTGTGAGGGGCTGTGTTAGCGTGACCTTAGGGTTCCCACCAAGGCCCTTCTTCAGTGTTAGTGGGTTTGACTGGAGGGCCAGCTCTGTGGAGTGTTTTACTGAAACATCTCTGTCAGGCCAAGGACGGTGCTGACTACTGTATGAAATAGTGGTGATATTAAAAACAGATACAAGCCTGTGTTGGAAATCACTGTGTGAGAAAGATTCATGCAACAGCTGGCAGCTAACACAGTCCACTGTAGCCACAAACACAAAGAAAAAACAGATGTAAACACAGTCGAGGCACTCCTCCAACGTCCCTGGACGTGAGCTGATTTAAGATGGACTGGTGAGAACTGTAAAACTTCAGTGGGCAGTTATCTTGTTGGAGGACACAGACTTTAGACAGTGTTTCTGATGGTATGGCAGTGCAACAGTGCATCTGTGTTTTACGTCTGTGAAGGACCAACTCATTCTGAACATCGAGGTTTTGGAGCAACAAATGCTGTCGTGCAGATGTTTGTTTGGGG